GTAAAGCTGTGCAAAAATCCTACAAGTACACGTTCTACATGAAACCTCGTGGTGTCTGCATCAGAGTGAAGCAGCCAGAGTAGAAGTATCCTCGTTATAGAGGCAGACCGTATCAGTAATCATTGTGTGTCCTGCTGAGCTACTGACGCTGCAGGTGGCTCAGTGGTTAGCACTGTGGCCTCACAGCAAGAAGGTCGCTGGTTCACGTCCCGGTGAGGACACCCGGGATCTTTCTGCGTGGAGTCTCCATGTTCTCCCCGTGCAGCGTGGGTTCTCTCCGGGTTCTCCGGCTTCCTCCCACAGTCCAGAAACATGCTGAGGTTAATTGGTGATTGTAAATTGTCCGTAGGTGTGAATGTGAGTGTGCTTGGTTGTCTGTCTCTAAGTGTACATGATTTATCACATGACACTGGCTTTGAAATGGTTGAAAATCACATGTCCAGAAATATGTAGAAAATAACCAGAAACATTTAGAAAATGTCCAAAAAACTCAGGTGATGTTAGCTGAGGAGCTAACATTCTGAATGACTGTAAACGTAACGGATGAACTATCGTCAGTATTTCAACATTTCTGATTCTATTTAACGGTTTTGGTTCTGAGCAATCTCTGATTTGACTTGTTCAAGTTAGAACAGCTGAGTGAAGTTCTGCTGTTTAATACATGAGTCCTCATGATCTAATAGTCTAACAGCCATACGATAGGACTGCCCCACTGTACACCAGCTACTGCTAGCTAGCTGGCTAACATTATGATTGAGTACCGCTGTTGATCAGGTAATCAGTGAACCACTGTTTGTCTCAGTTTCTTGTTTCAAAAAGAGCTGTGATTGGTCAGCAGATCTGAGGGATGAGAGCTGGAGTCGGTACCCTGATGGACCAGGATGCTGAACTATTGAATTATCTGAGAGGCTCGATGATGTTCAAGAGAGCCGAGTGTCATCTGAGGGGCTTTAGGACCATGAAGGGGAACTGATCACACACTCTGTATTCAGCACACACACACATAGTGACACACACACACACACACACACACACACACACACACACACACAGAAACACCTCCTCCTCCAAACTTGCAGCAGTGATGCTCTCTCTCTCTCTCTCTCTCTCTCTCTCTCTCTCTCCTCCTCCTCCTCCTCCTCTTCCTCTTCTTCTTCTTCTTCTCCTCCCTGCAGGAGAACCAGAGAACCATCCTACGAGCAGACGGACACCTGCCTGTCCGCCTTCCTCTCTCCTCTGTCGGCTGTCTCTGCCTCGGAGCTCCGGGCTCCGGCAGCGGCCCCTCCTCGGCTCTGTGCGCGGCTTGGAGCGCGCTGAGGGCGGCTGGAGGACGGAGGAGGAGCCGCTGATGTTCGGTGGATGTTTGGATGGAGGCTCCGGAGGCTCACCTTGGGAGGTGAGTCTGTGTGTGTGTGTGTGTGTGTGTGTGTGTGTGTGTGTGTGTGTGTGTGTGTG